AAGTTATATTTTAGGATTGTAGTGTTTCCTTTTTGTTTACCTCATGACCTTGTTAGAGAATTTCCTGAGACCTTGTTAGAGCCACTCTCCCCTCTTCTTAACTAGTTTTAGGTTTAGAGTTTGTTAGCCCTGTTTAAGTACCACTGTTATGAGTACTTACCTTCCTCTTGGTCAGGTTAGAACCAATTGGTCTTGCAATTTAGAATCAGGTGTAGAGCTGGTAAACTCTATGTGAGTATCATGGTTATGAGTACTTACTTTCCCTTTTGACTTTGGTTAAAGTCAACCTTAGTTAGCTTTCAACTTACACTTAGAGAGTTGGTTAACTCTATGTAAGTATCATGGTTATGAATGCTTACTCCTCCTCTGGAACCTTGATGGTTATCAAGAGTTCCTTAACCCTAGTCAGGTAAACTACGGTCGCTCTGATTCCATTCTAGTCAGGATACGTAGGCACGAGATGCGACGTCTTGGTGAGCATACTTTGTATATACCCTAGGTATTTACCTTAGCACTTTCCCTTAACAAGCAAACTTTAGCATAACATAAATACTAACAAGAGGTTCCTGTAGATTACTATAGATACTTAGGATTCTAACACCTTCCCTAGGTATAACCAACCCCCAAACCTTAGATCTCTAGTTGTGTTGTTACATCGCGCACTTAAGGTTTTCTTTGATCTTTACCCTTTCCTTTGGATAAATCAAATCTCTATGGTGAATTTCATATATTTGTGATATTTGATTCTCTCCGCAAAAACTTATCAATGATTTTCAAATACTCAGCATATGGCAGAGCATCCACCAGAATACCCCTGACTCTATGATGCTTTCTGTAAATTTTCTTTTGAGCAGGAGACAGAGTTTTTCTGTCAGATACCATACCAACACTATCAACAGCAATTTAAATTCCATCTTCAAATATATCCCATAGCTCATCACTGAGTCCAATGATATACATATACATCTTGTTTTTCCACCATTTAAACTCAGCGAAGTCACCACTGAACACAGGAGGTTTAGGAGAGTAATGATTTCTCTCAGAGCTACTGTAATCATAGGAAAATCCCCTTCCTGAGGTACTAGAATTAGTATCCTCAGTAGTCATATTTTTCTTGTTGGATATTTGACTGTACCACTGTTAAGTGTTACGTACAGATCTTGCTCTGATTCCATCTAAAGGCGAGAAAAATACACAAGAAGGAGGATGAATTGTGTTCCCAAAATTTGTTTTACTTCTGAACCAGAGTTTAGATTCCAAAAACTAAGTTCAGAATCTGATAATGAGTGCATCAGAAAATGTAACAGAAGTAAAGTAAAAATAACAAATAACACACACGTTATCTTGGTTCCTCTCCCAACTAAGAGTACTTCAGTCCCCTTGCCTTGCAAGATATTTTCCATTATAATCAACCCGATTAAACTTGCTTATGACCTCTAATCGATGACTTTCCTGCTCAATCAACATCTGATCAAGACTTCCTACTTAGATCCTCAGATCCTAAGACTTTCCTTGCTCAAACCACATGGTTCAAGACTTTCTTGCTTAAACACACTACCTAAGACTTTCCTTGTTTAGATCCTTGGTCCAAGACTTCCCTGCTCAGACTCACTGTTTAAGACTTCTCTGCTCAAGCCTACAACAAGAGACTTTTATATAAACTGACTGTTTAGAGAAGGAATAACTTACAACAACACTTGATTAACAATAAGAAGTGTTCAAATATAATACAACACACTTTTACAAAAGATTCTTAAGCTATACAAGAATAAGAACTCTTAACAAATTTTGCTTCTGATATGTAGGGTGTGTATTTCTCGGTTATAGTTGCAGTGTTATTTCTTGAGTTGATATTCAAATCTTTTGCTTCTTATATAGCTGAAGAAATATAGTCATTGAAGCATCCATAACGGCTATAATCAGATCAAATCTTCTAGTACATCTACTTTTCCAATAAAGCAGGTGTTAGAACTTTCAGTTAAAGAATTATCCACAGAACAAGGCCTTTTTCCCGAAGACTTATCTATGTTTCAAGTACAACACAATCTGTTGAAGATAATGTCAATATATCTCGAGTCCCGTGTTAGCAAAACTGAGTTGACACTACTCAGTCTCAAAGACAGCCATAGCACATTTCTAATTCTGGAGTGTACTAGTAGCTACTTTCTAGTCAGACTCTCTCGCGACTGTATGATCAGAATCGAACCAAAGCTACTTCTCTGTCAGAACTAGTTTCATCAACTGCATATAATTCTGCACCCACAAACAGCTAGTTAGAAATCCTAATTGTTTTTCAAATACTTTTTCGTTATCAAAATCTTAAAAGATTGATGGTATGAACCAAACTTGTCTCAACAAGAGAGAGAGAGAGAGAGAGAGAGAGAGAGAGAGAGAGAGAGAGAGAGAGAGAAGAATTTGTTTAGGTAGTTCTTCAATCGGCCTCGTTATGGGAACGTCTGCCTTCAGTTCAAATTTGAATTGAGATAGTTGCAATTTAACCTTACTTTGCAAACAATATACATACAAGAGATGAAGAAATCTAACCCCATAAACCCTATAGTTTGTTGTTAATTCTACCACCTCCAAAACCATTGATAAAAGATTGATCTATTAACCAAAAATGCTGCTACAATCCACTAGTCCTTGTTACTAGCTTGCAAGACCTCCTCTTCTTCAAGGTTTTTGTTGGTCTGGATTAATCCCTAACACGCACTTTTTGAACCCAAGATTCATGAACACGATTCACAATTTCACGCCATTCCCTTGAAATGTACACCCTACCTTGTCCCAGGGCCTCTTCATTTGATCGAATCCGTATTTGCATGATCTTGTCCAAAACCTTCAAATCTCAATGATCTTGAAGAAAAACTCCAGCTTGGCTTTCTTATTTGAAACACACAAAGAACTCAACCCAATATTCTCGGTTACAACAACCTAATTGGATGTTATCAACCCTTATTTTGATGGTCACCCAATCAAAAAATGATTATGTGTAGTTTGATTGTGTGTATACATAGAAGAGAGGTTGAAGATGATGGGTTTGCTTTGTAATTCTGGCTTCATTTAGGTTTTACATTTCTACCTTACTAGAATATGATGCATGCATGAGTATATATATGTATAAGAGGAAATAGGCAAAAAGAATGCAACAAAAAAAAATTGAAAGGAAAAACAAAATATTAATTTTGGAAGGCAATAGATCGGCCTAAAAAGTTCAATAGGTCAGCCTATGAAAGTAACAGGTTGACTTAAAGGTTTTAGGTCAGCCTATCTAAGGCGACCTGAAGGAAGTGGATACAAGATTCGTTATTGAAGCATGAAGGTCGATCTGAGGTAGATATGTGTCGACCTATACTGAAGCAAAGACTTCTATAGGTCGACCTGAGCTCATTTGTATCGGCCTATGCAACCTTTTTTACACCAAAAATTCATTTTTGATGCATGAAACATGCCTAAGTTGTTTCCGATCATTTTTAAACATTTTCAAATATATTTATATGCATCCAAATGCTAAGATGATCAATGCACGTCTAGACTTTGGTTGATGCCGCCCAATATACAAAAAACGCCAATGTTCTTCCTAGTTCTTACATCATTCAAAACATGACTAGATGGAAGAGTGCTGTCACAATTACCAGAAGCCGTTGTGAAAAGTACTTACATTTCATCATGGTTTTTAGTATCAAGTGTGGTGAAAGATGTTACTTATATATAAGAAAAGTTATCTCACTTCATCAAACAACAATTGTCTCTCTCAAACCAAAACTCTAACATCTCTCTTACGTCTTTTTTCTTCTTCCACAAAATTGTTTCTTCTTCTTCATAATAAGTAATTAATTTCAACATTTTTTCTTCTTTATCTTTCTTCTTCTTTTTCATACGCTTTCTTCCATTTTTCTTTGTATAGGTTCTAATATTCATCACCATTGAAGAACTTTCAAGATATATCATTCTTTCTACCTATTCATTCTAGTTGGTGTTACAAAATAGTTGTTGTTCATCATGTGTCAAATGTGCTTGGTATGTTTCTCCCCTTCTGAGTTAGTTTTGTAAAATTGACATTATCTCTTTAAGGTTTTTACGCTTTCGGAACTCCATCTCTTCTTCAAATTGAACAAGGCATGGAAAACATGGATTCAACTTAGCAACGTTAGTTTTTTGTTTTTTTGTCAGGTAAAATATTCTTGTTAAACGATTCTATTTATTTATTTTGTTATTCTTCCTATTTTTCTTAGTGTTGTTGTCGTTGTTTATTGTTTTTCTTGTTTTTGTTTTTGTTCTTAAGTTACAAATATGTAATATTATATATTGTGGTGAAAGTTATCATTATAATCACACAAAATATGTTACAAAAATGAAAATTTGAGTTGACTTACAAACACGATTGTTTATTACAACCGTGATTAAACAACCGTGTTTATATGTAGCGTGTTTTCCAGTTTATTACCATGACCAATAGACAGTGGTTGTAAATAGTCCACTTACAAAAACACGTTATCTCACCATGGTTGCTCAACCGTGATTATAGAATTTTCACAACCGTAACTATAGGTATTTTTTGTATTAGTGCACAACTCCATTATTTGGCATGGATTATCGTGGAACCGAATAGTCTTCTCGTTTGGAAAAAAATGGTAAATGGGCAAAGAAGAGAGTTTGAATGTTTTATAAACTTACCGATGTCACTAATTAATGTTGATTCCAAAACTACAAATGGTTTTGCCTGCATGAATAATGTGATCAAAATCGGCTGAGGCTTGTAAAAGGATTTGAGGGTTACAATTAATCTTTGAGGCTAGTTCTTTAGGGATTGTGGTTTGTTCTAATTTGAGTGGTTCTATATATGTGATGAATACCTTGATGGAAATACATAGCAACGACATTAGAGATGAAATCATAGCTTTTGACGCCATTTATGAGCTATTGATGACAATTGGTTTGTATGTATATAAAAATCAATTGTGAGAAACAAATATATAGAATTTAACATACAGTTTTAGCTATGCTTTTGGTGGAGTATTAGCAAACTTCCATGAGCACTTAATATAAATATCTGCAATTCTGTATCCTGCTACCTCAGATATTGGTATTGCATCTGTAATCTCCTTCAATTCATCCTTGCTGAACTTCACTTCCAAGGAACCCACATTATTATCAACATTCATTGTCTTTGTTGTCCCTACAATGCACATGATAGGTTCAAAAATGATAACAGTGTTACACATGAGGTGTTTATCACTATGCAAAATGGAAAACCACTAACCAGGGATGGGTACTACATTGTCTCCTTGATGAAGAATCCATGAAAGAGCAAGTTGTGAAGTTGTACATTTATGCTTCTCTGACAACTTTTCTATCCTAGAATATAAGATCTTGTTCTTGTCAAGATTCTCTTCTTGTAACCTTGGATGAGAAAACTATTGAAAAGAGATGTTGGTGAAGGGTGCAAAACGATCAAGGCCAATAAATAATCAAAGAAACCACAAATGGATCATCAAATCCATACCAGAAAACTACTATTTGTAGCTATGTTTTCGGGGACAGCCTTCCCGCAGAAAAATCCTTGGCCAAGAGGGCTATATGGTACTATTCCAATTCCAAGTTCCCTGAAATTGTTGTTGCAATAGTCATCTTATGATTGATATGAAAAAGCATTAAGTAAGGATTTCACATGTCCAAAGGATCCAACTCAAGCAAGTATATCTGAAACATATGAAGCTGAGACAGACATAAACACGAACACTGACATGTTTTTTTTTAAAGCATCAGTGCTATAGCCTGAACCTATTTGATCAAAACAAGTACCTGCAAAGAGTAACAATATCCTGCTCAATTTCACGAGTCCAAAGGGACCACTCCATTTGAACAGCAGTAATACGATGAACAGCATGTGCTCTTCTAATGGTGTCAGGACTAGCTTCAGATAATCCTATGTACTTTATCTTTCCTTCTTCCACCAACTTTTTAAGCTCTTTCATCTATGATTCATAGAAAATCAAATACAGCAAACAAATCAACGATGCAAACACTAGCACACTACACACACTTACTGTGTCTTCAATCGGTATCGTAGTGTCAACACGATGCTGATAATAAAGATCAATGTATTCCACTCCAAGGCGTTGGAGACTAGCTTCACAACATGATCGAACATATTCTGGTGAACCATTTACTATGATATTGTTTGGTTCCATTTTCACTATTCCAAACTTCGTCGCAATCTGAATCTCTTCTCGAGGTAATTCCTTCAATGCCTGACAGTTCAAATATCATGACACAACAAAGTTGGCAAAGAAAGTCTTGAACCAAAAAAAGGAAAATAAATACGATATTGTTACTATTACAAGCGTTGACTTAGAGTACAAATTTAAGAGTGAACCTTTCCGAGGATGATTTCATTGGCACCATGGGATCCATAAACATCTGCTGTATCAAAGAAGGTGATTCCTTTGTTGAATGCATATTTGATCAAAGAGATGGCAACTTCTTCTGGAACATGGGGGTAATACCTTCTTGTGATGCCAGAGCACCCAAACCCCAACTTTGAAACCTGCAACACCATAGTATATATAGCACACATCAATGATTGTTTATTGTTATTCAAACATAATGATGATGATGATGACTTGAATGAAGGATATATATCATACTACTTGCCTCTAGGCCTTGGCTACCAAGCTTCACTCTAGGAATATCTCCCATGTTTGTTTCTTTTCTCTCTTTCTTTGAATTTATACGACTGTTCCCCTTTCAAAACATGCCCCTATGATATAGTTTTGATTGCTTTATCTAGAACACTTTTTTTTATCAACGAAAGAATCCAATAGATTAATAACTATTTACTAAATCGGCATAAAATGTCACAATTTAAAAGTTATGCAAAAGTCAACTACAATAGCATCACAACATATTTGCAGCATGGATCTTTCCTGCTAAATGCACTTCTTCCATCTGTGCTGTCATAATCCAATGACTTTAGAGTTTTAAAATAATATAATAAAAATAAAAGGGTTGTGTTTAAGAAAAATGAGTGGTGGAAATTGTGACAGAATCACGAGAAGGAGAGAATCTGCCGGAGAGGATCCAACTTCCCAAATTTATAGTTTAATTTGAGTTAATTCATAGTCTGCATCAAAAATCTTATTATTGAAAAAAATAGTTATTGCGAGCAGGGACGGATCCAGAAATTTTAATCAGTGGAGGCAAATTTTGTTACTATAATTTTACATAAAATTTAATTTGTTTAACAATAATGATTTTATTATAATTATTCTTTGTGTCCTTCAATTTTTTTTTCTACATCAATAAAAAATAATATAAAATTATACAATTTTATAAAATTTTCTATTTATTTAAATAAATAAATAAAAATGATGAATACAATAATTTATAAGAAATTTAAAAAAGTTATATGGAAATACTTATTATAAATGATATAGATATTAGTATTTATTATTTGCTGAAAAAAAGAATGAGAGAATATTTAGTGGGGGCAATAACTAACTTTTATGATATTAATATAAAAGTTATTCAGCATTTATTAGACAATTAAATGAGTGGGGGCAGCTGCCCCCAATTTATTTAACTTAAATCCGTCCCTGATTGCGAGCTCTTTAAAACACCTAAAATGTTAAAGATCAAATAATTTAAAAGTAATTTTAAATTTTAAAAGTCAAATTTGTAACTCACATGGGAATCCAGAAATACATACACTTCGCATTATCAATTAATAAAAGACACCACACCAAATTTTATGTGAAAACTTACAAACAAAAAATATATGTGATAAAGTTTTGACAAAACCACAATTAAATATGCAATTTTAAGTATCAACACTTAGAATTTCCATTTAAAGTGATTGTATCGAGTTGGCATTCGATTAGCCAAGAAAGTCAAGAAAAATTGATACTTTCAACGACACCATTTTATTTCAGACTAAAGTATTAATATTCAACTTCATGTTGGCATCATCATCTTCAGTCGAGTGTCCTATTGATCCAACATGATATTCACATCCATTTTATTTCAGACTAAAGTATTAATATTCAACTCCATGTTGGCATCATCATCTTCAGTTGAGTGTCCTATTGATCCAACATGATATTCACATTGGACATTTGGGTTATATCTAGGTGGTTAAGATTGTGGAAATGGCTTGAGAGACTTGGGTTCTACCAGCAATCTTTGAATTCGGTCTGACAGAAATTAACTGTATGTCATGGGAATTGGATTGAGGGAAGCATTCATTCTTTCCAAATTGTTTCGAGGCCTAGACTGATTCTGATATCCCCAACCATGAACTTGTTGATTTGAATTAGGAGCGGTCCATGGTTGCTGGTATGACGCTCTCGGTGTTACTGGTTGCCCATAAGGATGGCATGACGTTGAAAATGGTGACTCCTAAAAAGATAAGGGATCATAAGGTATTGTTAGTGCACCATGAGAATACCCAACAATTGTCATGACTGCATTCGTTTCATCCTCTTCTTCCTTTTGGGAACTGTTGGAGGACTCAGTTTCGCTAGTTGGCTGCTCGAAGAGTCTTGAATTTTTTACTTTTGAGGTAGCTCTCAATGCATTCTCCCACTATCACAAGGTTGGAGAAGCTCGATAATGCATTTCTACCATTCTTTCAAGATAAGAGATATCCAGAGTATCTAAGAACATGTCAATCAATTCTATGTCTAAGAGTGGTGGTTGTCATACCTTAAAATTTTCCCTACTTCTTTCCACTTATCATTTGGCTTTTGATCCTTAATTCATCTGCACGCTCATACCATATTCATTTAGATCATTCATGCATAATTGTTTTTTTAGATAAACATCATTGATTCAGAGGTTGTCTCTCATGGCACCAGTGTTGGATAGGTCTCTTTTAATGGCATTTTTTAGAATCAAGATCCTGTTGTTTTGATGTTACACCTGCTTGGTGATGATTATTTCTCTCGGGTTCGAAAGCTACATAATCTTAATTTTGGCCTGAGCCATTTGGTATCACGTGGACTACGTCATGGTATTGAATCTGATTATGGAGTACAAGTTTATTAGCTAATCTCTAGGGGCTTCTTTCATACACCACTTCATTGATCATTTTGTATGGATTTAAGACAATGCTTTTGCAATTAAGAGATAAATAAAAGAAATCAAGGGTCATTCTTCCTAATTCAAGTTTATTCAAGTGCAACTTCGAAACATATTACACAATTTATTTCAAAAAGTCACTTCAGTACAAAAACATTCAACATTCCATGACAAAAAGCCAAAAACCAAATACAAAAATTACATCCTCATTACATATCTGGTGCATGAAAGTGTCCGAGTTGCTCCATGAGTGAGTCTTGAGTCGACGTCAAGTCTTGATCATATTAACCCTGCAAAATCACATACACAGTGAGAAAAATCGAGGCTATGGTCATTCCATTACATCATAAGATAGCCAAAAAAGCCAAATTTTCATCACTGTAACCGGTTACGCCTGCACTTACACCTAATTTACGCGGCCCAAAACACCTGTTATCGGATTGGTAACCGGTTACACTTGCCCTTACACCCGCAGTTCAGCATCTCCCGGTGTCATACCCCAAATTTGTTCTACTAGCATAATTTTCATCTGTACACCAATTACTATTTGGAAAATCAAAAACATTAGATTGCTTTGTTCCACGGTCCTTTTGTTTAAAGTCAAAATTGTTGCAAGGATGAATTGAGGGTCATCTGAGGTTGGTGTGTATAGTATCAATTGAAGTTCAGCTGGTTCTGACTTAAGTCTTGGTCAGGTTAGCAGGTTGTGATAGGTCAGGTATTTCGTCAACAACTGGTTCATTTTGGTTAAGGTTTTATGCGGTGCATTGAGAATCATGTAAACAATTCATTATCTCCTGACTAAGCATTTGGTTCATTATAAAAGACTTGTTTATCGGTGTTCAAGGGGCAAATTTCAAGAATGGATTCAATATGGGATCTATTTTAATTCAAGGGTATGATTTATTCCAAGATTCAAGATAAGCCTGGGAGTTGTTCCATTTGTCAGGGATCAAATCATGGTCATTCAGAGTTTGATAATTTTAGGACATGCTCATCTGGTCCATGTTATTGTCTAAGAAGTTCAATGAAAATATTTAGGGTCCATCATGATTCTTTCAAAATAAAGGATTGGTTCGCTTTGGAATCAAGCTTTCATTCCATGAGGATTCGAAGATTAAGGAGTGATCAAAAGCCCATTCAAGATACACAAACCATTTTTTTACCATGCCTATGTTCATTATCATACACCTTAAATAAAGACACAAAAGCCCATAGTTTTTTTCCTATTATTATAAGCCCAATTCAAAAGAGGAGAACCATTTCTAAGCCCATTACAACACTGGAAAAAAATAAAAAAAATGAAAAAGAGGATCTCATCACTACAAGGTACCAACAGCCAAAATGAGTCTTCCTTTTTTTTTCCAGATACCACCTCAACACATCATCTTTTAAGGTCCTGACCAAGCCATCTGCAATGAAGTCTTTACATTCGTAAATATCGACTTATCGAAGTCGATAATCTTCATTATTTCAAATCTGTAGAAAATGATCATTTGGATCATTTTTCTATACTTTGGAATCGTGAGAGGTTACCTTCGATTAACTGACACGAGTTTATGATTAAGATGAGACCCCATTCTTGTTGGTCTGTGCGACGCGATTAAATCGGAGAATGATCTTCAATCATTGATTCTTGATGTTAATTTTTGTTCAATATAATTGCTTTACTTTTCAGTCAAATATACCCTCGATTTAATTTCAGTCATTATATCACTGTTTATATACTCTTGCACATATTTTTGTTTATATTATTGTTGACATTATCTTGCTCACCTTATCATCATTGTCCATATTTCATCATGTCATATTATTCATATATTGTTAATCTAACCCATCTCTTATTTATCTCATTCAAAAATACCAAAAACATAATAAAACTATTGAAACCCTAAAAATCCTAAACTAGAGGACTGTTGATCATTATCTTGGGTATTGAAGTTTAGACCTTGTACATAAACACTAGTTTGGATGTTTGTGTCCGAATTCTCGTTCTTTGCTTAGTTTAGGACACCTCGCACACACACGGGTTTCTCTTGGGCTACCTGACAATGAGACCATTTATTTCTCGCAATCTCTTGTATTTTATATGTATCCCCCTCCCGTTATAGTGTAATAGCTTAGTTCTTTTCATGCTTGTCGCTACTTGTTAAAAAGATTAAAAAAACGAACTAGGCTAGAACACGTTTTCAAAATAAAGAGCAAATGAGCCTTGATCCAATGTCAAGTCATTTTCAAACTCATTTCAAATTGGACCACCTTAGGGTTTCTCCTTCTCTTTTCACATCTCTTCCATCAAACCACACTAACCTTGTATGTATTCCACCCTTGTAAGTCGATTGCTTCACGCGTAGCCATTAACCCACCATGCTCTATTCACCACCATTTCGTTTCAAAACTTTTCTCTTTTTCTTTTTGTCTCATTGAGTCTAAAAACCTTGGTCTCGTACCAAGTTCATTTTCAAAACTCTTTTCCCAATAAACTTGGATGGTTGTGGAGTGGTTAGGCGAAGGCTTTCTCCTATCTCGAGTGCTTGGCATTACCTTTAGGGTTCACTGTCGTAAAGCACTTACCATTCAAGATCAAAACATCTTTAATAAAAGAATGATGTTCTCTTTAT